TTCATTCTACTGGTTCTGTTTCTTTGGAGAACCCTGACTAATACAGTATATGTTGATATTGTTTAGATACTCTTCCCTATCAGCACTCCATTTACTACCCTACCCAATTTCATGTTCATTCTGTCTCTCCCTCTCTTTCTCTCCCCATAACAACACACACACACACACACACACACACACACACACACACACAGCATGTATATATGCAGACATTCCCTGGATCTCAGTCAACTTTTGAAGATATTCCATCCATGAAAGAGAAACTTTTTCCCCCTACCTGAAACCTGTGGTGGCCAATACTTCCTCAGGTATCATTGGTGTTTCTTACCAACCTCTCCATGTCTATGCTGGGATTTTGCCTGTCTTGAACTCATGTGGGACTTCTACATGCTGTCACAATGCTTTGATTTCATGTTACTTCCCAATTTTCTATAAATCTCTATTTCTTTGTGTTATTCCACCATCTGTGACTCTTAAAATATTTCTGTTTGCTATTCTACAACGATCCCTGTGGGTTTGGAGGCAGAATTTTGATATAGGTGTCTACTTGGGGATAGGTAGTATGCAGTCTAATTATCTGCACATTAGTCAGTTTTGGGTCTTTGTATGATTCACCATGTGCTACATACAGAAGCTTCATTACTGAAAAATGAAAGATGCATTAGTCTACTGGTATAACAATAAGTCATTTGGAGTAAATTTAACGCTATATATATTTAGCAGAATAATAGTATTAGGCCCTCTCCTATGTCCCCTAAGCCTCACATCCATGCCAGATATGGGCTTTACTTTATGAAGGATACCTTAAGTCCAATTATAAAGTGATTGTTAACTCCAAAAATATTTGTATCACTGTTGCATATACCTTACCAGACCAGTTTTGTTGTAACTCACAGGATTCAAGTCTGGGTAAAGTTGATGATCAGTTTTCTCTATGGTAGGATGCAAAGCACCTTCCAGCACTATGAAGACTAGTCAGTAGAGATGAAGCTTTGAAGTCAGTACCAGCTTGATTTCTCCTTTTTTCTTCTGTAGCTCATGGGTGTAGTGTCTTCAAATTCTGGTGGTAAGAGAGGATAAGTATCTAGAATGTATGGTGAACTCAAAATACTAAACATCAAAAAATATACAACTTATTGAATATGGGACAAGGAGCTGGACAGGCAGTTCTCCAAGTATAGAAATGTGTAAGATCTTCTTTTAAAATGTTCTACATCAGTAGTCCTAAGGGAAATGTAATTTAAAACCATTTTGTGATCTATTAACCCTTTCACCATGGCTAACATCCAAAAAACCAAACAAGGTGGGTGTGGTGGCACAGACCTTTAATTCCAGAATGGAGAGTGGTAGCTGGGCACAAATTCCACCCCTTGGTCAGGACCTATTGCTAATTGATAGGTGCTGGGAAGGAGTCAGTGTTCTTCAAGGGCATGGGCCCCATGAATTTTATATTTCCTTTAAAAAATAAATGAAAAACAAAAATCAGAGAATGAAATATTGGGTAGGTCATGAAGGGATGGTCTTCTAGGAGTGGAGGGCAATTTGATAAAAATACATTCTTTGAAATTCTCATAGAACTAATAAAAAGTGTGGGAAAAATTTTTTTAAAGTACATCACATGTTGTTATCTCTCCTCTACTTAAATGCTCAAAAATATAAAAATTCAAACATAAATATTGATACATGAGTAATACCTGACTTGGTATGTTGCTGTATTTTTTATTTGTTTGTTTTCCAAATATAGTGTTAAGTAAATGAAAAAAAATTTTGTGCAATATTAGTAATGATCCCATCTAGACTTCAGATGTCACTCCTTGGAGATACTGAAATGCTGCTTCATTTTCTTTCTTTTGCATTTAATATCGACAGGTCAAATGTCCTTAGGGATTCATGCATTTCTTCTAGACCCATTTATTTAGCTTTTTGAACATGTATCAGTTATTCTTTAATGACAGTTTGTATTTCATTGAAGTCTCTTTTAACAGCTTCTCCCCTGTATTTTTATTAATTTGTTTTTACTAGCACTTTTTTGGTTCCTTTGTCCAGTCTTTAGTCAGTTTTTCTCAATGAATAGATAGATTTCATGTACTGTTTTATATTCTTTGTTTTGTTTTTTTTCTTCTTTTCTGTTGGTTATTTCTCACCATCTAATGCACAGTCTTCATTTCTTCTTCATTCAGGAGAAAACTGAATTCCATTTCTATCCTATTTTTTTTTTCACACCTACATTTGGGGACATGATTTCTTTTGATAATGTTTTTTCTTCAAAGAAGAAATTTGTAGGAATTTGAAAATTCTTATCTTGGAAATATCAATGGCCCAAAATCTATTCAAATGAAATGTGCTCAATAAAGAAGTATTTCCAGCTGGGCGTGGTGGCACACACCTTTAATCCCAGCACTTGGGAGGCAGAGGCAGGCGGATCTTTGTGAGTTCGAGGCCAGCCTGGTCTACATAGTGAGTTCCAGGACAGCTGGGGCTACAGGGAGACCCTGTCTCAAAAAGACCAAAAATAAATAAATAAGAAAGAAAGAAAGAAAGAAAGAAAGAAAGAAAGAAAGAAAGAAAGAAAGAAAGAAAAGTATTTCCACAGACTTTCATTTCTTTACTCGTTTATTTGTAGTTTTCTTCCACTATTACTTAAAAATACATGGTCATATTTTTCATTTTTTCTGAGTCAGCCGAAGTCATTTTCTGCCCAAAAACTGCACCGCTCTGAGCCAATTTAGAGAATGCTGCACTAAGTGGGAGGGGATGGGAGCTTTTAAAGGTTAAGTCCAAAATGTAGTCCTTGACAAGATTTACTCAAAGACAAACAATCACGTTTGTTTTTGTAGGTGGGCAAGCAAGCAGTTCAACTTAATTTTTAAAAATATTTCATTTATTATTTTTATTTTATTTGTATGAGTGTGTTGCCTGCATGTAGGTAAGTGCAACTGTGTCATGCAATACCCTTGGAAGACAGAAGAGACTGTCGGATCCCCTGGAACTGGAGTTACAGATAGCTGTTAGCTGCCACATGGGTGCTGGTATTCAAACCCCACTCTTCTGCAAGAACAACCAATTTTTTTAACCACTCAGCCATCTCTCCAGCCCAGAATCAATTTTAAACGTTTATTTTAAATGATGCTGGCTTTGGAACCCATAATGTGATCTTTCCGAGAATAATATTAAATTTTTTCATTCTTACTTTGTCTAAGTAACAGTCATTGAAATCCTGTTTATCTATGAAATAATTCAGATCTTGAGGGTTTCATCCCTTGATTTTGGGAAAATCTACTGTAGTTTAAGGTGGTGGACTGATGTTGCTAATTGGTATTATGTCAGAATCAAGTTTAAGCTTTTTTTTTACTTGATTTTTGTATTATAAAATTAGGAATCTAATATTATGTACAAAAAATTACAGTTCTCTTTAAAAATTTCTTTCTACTAATATGTACTGATCATGTTGTCTCTTCTGCTTACATTTCCTTGCAGTCTGCTTTATGATCTATGGGAACGGATATTCCACCCTCTTTATATATCCTTTTAGCTGTTCATTTGTTTGCTCTTTGTTTTTGAATATCATTACAGTAAAGTGTGTTTCTTGGACCAAAAAGATACTTGAATCTTACTTTGAACCCACTCTTCTTGACTCTTATCTTTTAATTGGTGACCTGAGATAATTTTCATTTAGTATGATTGTGGGAGGATTTTTTAATTCAAGATGATTTTGCTGGTGTTCTGGCTGTTAGAATCATGAATTAGTATTAATCTTTATTAGTATTAATATTGAGCTCTATTTTGTTTCCTGTATTGCTAATGGTGGATTCCTTCTGGAACATGGTGCATTCATCAATTACTCTTTACAGTTGTATTCTGACTTCTTTTCCCATGAATGAGTGTCTTTCTCCTCTGTGTGTCTTGTTTGCTTCCATAAATTCTGAAGTGATTTTCTTGCCATGAATTGGTAAATTTCTTCAAATGAACTTCTTCCCCCATCAATTTTTTTTTATTGAAAAGCAGCTCAATTTTTTATTATTTCAGTGCCATTTGAGGAAAATAGAATCATGTGGTTGAGAGGATAAATGGGAAAGCTTAACACAAGTTACAGTTTGAGTTGTATGCATTTTACTTAGACTAGAATGAAGTTTTAATAGTAAAAAGCAAATTCAAATGCATGGGAACTTTTGGACAATCTAGCACACTCCATCCTTGACTGCTGTCTAGTATTTGCTTCATGTTGAGGCTCATCTTATGGCATGATTACTGATAAGTAGAGAATGATCTTTAATTTTTCTTGTCAGTTATACCAATTATTTTAAGCTATGCAAAAGAAAAGAAGGAAGAGAGGGAAGGTCTGTGAAGCATGAGCCAACCATCTTCCCTCCCTCCTTCTATTATGGAGGGGCACTGATGTGACTTTTACTAACCCAGACTCTCCCTCCAGGTGCACTGAGCTGTTCCACGGTAAGGAGTGGGTGTGGGTGTTCCTCCATTAATTCTAAGAGATATCTTTTCTACAAGTCAATTTTAGTTAATATGTTTGCATTCAGTATGTAAATGTATTTTTACATTGTTTCATGCTGTTTTGCCTCTGGTCATTTTTGACAAAAGATCTGATATTCTTATAAATTTCCTGCCTTTGTAATTAGTTGGTACTTTTTTCCTCACAGATTTAACTATTGATTTTCTTGCTTACTCTTTTTCTCATGTTGCCTATGGATTGTTATGTAGAGCTTGGTTAATACTGATTTCACCTTTCTAAATGCCTCTCTTGTGATTGTATTGCTATATTTTTCATTTATTTTCTAATTTATTTTTATTGAATAAATTTTGCCATTTAGTTTTGATTTCATCTCCCTCTTTTACTCCATAAACTTATTTTTGTTCATCTGAATGTTTCTCAATGTTGAAATTTTTATTCATGCATAAACATGTTCTCTGTGGATCTGTGAGGATGTGATTGCCTCAGCCTTATTCTCCATATTGAAATGTTTTCTTTTTTGCTTTGCCTGGAGAACTCAACTCTTAGAAGACCTCAAAGGGTGTATAACATAGAGAAACCCTGCAAATGTGAAGAATATGACAAGTCCAATACCCATGTCTCAAATCTTAGAAAACATAAGTATATTCATACTGGAGAAAAACCCTACAGATGTGAAGAATGTGACAGGTCCTATATTTGGATGTCAAGTTTCAAATTACATCAGCGAAGTCATACTGGAGAGAAACCCTACAAATGTGAAGAATGTGGCAAGTCCTTTAGACAAATGCCACATCTGAAAGAACATCAGCGAATACATACGGGAGAGAAACCCTACAAATGTGAAGAATGTGTTAAGTCCTTTAGTCAAATGTCAAATTTGAGAGCACATCAGCGAATACATACGGGAGAGAAACCCTACAAATGTGAAGAATGTGTTAAGTCCTTTAGTCAAATGTCAAATTTGAGAGCACATCAGCGAATACATACGGGAGAGAAGCCCTACAAATGTGAAGAGTGTGACAGGTCCTTTGCTTGGATGACAAGTTTCAAATTACATCAGAGAGAACATAATGGAGAGAAACCCTACAGATGTGAAGAATGTGGCAAATCCTTTAGTAAAATATCATATCTGAGAGTACATCAGCGAATACATACAGGAGAGAAACGCTACGAATGTGAAGAATGTGGCAAGTCCTTTAGTAAAATGTCAACTCTTAGAGCACATCAGCGAATACATACTGGAGAGAAACCCTACAGATGTGAAGAATGTGGCAAGTCCTTTAGACATATGTCAGATCTTAAAGCACATCAGCGAATACATACTGGTGAGAAACCCTACAGATGTGAAGAATGTGGCAAGTCCTTTAGATATGTGTCAACTCTCAGATCACATCAGCAAATACATACTGGAGAGAAACCCTACAGATGTGAAGAATGTGGCAAGTCCTTTAGTAAAATGTCAACTCTTAGAGCACATCAGCGAATACATACTGGAGAGAAACCCTACAAATGTGAAGAATGTGTTAAGTCCTTTAGTCAAATGATATATCTGAGAGTACATCAGCGAACACATACGGGAGAGAAGCCCTACAAATGTGAAGAGTGTGGCAAGTCCTTTAGTCAAATGTCAAGTCTTAGAGAACATCAGCGAATACATACTGGAGAGAAACCTTACAGATGTGGAGAATGTGGCAAGTCCTTTAGACATATGTCAACTCATAGATCACATCAGCGAATACATACTGGAGAGAACCACTTCAGATGTGAACAATGTGGCAAGTCCTTTAGATATGTGTCAACTCTCAGATCACATCAGCAAATACATACTGGAGAGAAACCCTACAGATGTGAAGAATGTGGCAAGTCCTTTATGATGAGCTGCACTTATAAGAAACGTCAGAGAATTCCTCTTGGAGAGAATCCCTACAAATGTGAGGAATGTAGGAAGTCCTTTAAAAATATGTCTTAGATTAGAGCACATCATGTAATTCATACTTGAGAGAAACCCTACAAATGTGAAGTATATGACAAGTCCTTTAGTCAGATTTAATGTATCATACTGAAAAGTAACCATTCTGAGAAGAATGTGAAAAACTGAGAGCTCAACACATAGATGACATGAGAGAACCAGCTGGGGCTAAAGGGAGACCCTGTCTCTAGGAGACCAAAAAAAAGATATCTTAGATTAGAGCACATCATGTAATTCATACTTGAGAGAAACCCTACAAATGTGAAGTATATGAGAAGTCCTTTAGTCAGATTTAATGTATCATACTGAAAAGTAACCATTCTGATGAGAAGAATGTGAAAAACTGAGAGCTCAACACATAGATGACATGAGAGAATTCATACTAGAGAGAAACCCCACAAATGAAAAGGGTTTGAGAGGTCCTGTACTTTTATTTCAGCTCTTAGAGAACATCAAAGAATTGACAATAAATGCAGACACTGCACACATAAAGAATGTAGCAATTCCTTTAATAATATGTCAAATGGTGGCAGTTATCAAAACCTCATACTGAAGAGATAATTTACAATTGCCCAGAGTGTGGTACATCCTTTACCCTTGGTTCAATCCTTAGAAAGAAAAGCAGAATCTGTGCTAGAGAGATATATCTAAAAGTATGGACAATACTCAAATGCTTATATTTATATGTTACAAAACTTCATAGTGTACTGAAGGAAAAGTTAGAATTGTGCACAAAATTGCAAAATTTCTAATAAAAATTTATTTTTAATTCATAAGTATGAGAAACTAGAAACATAATTACTGTGAAAAAGCCTTTACTTTCCCATCCAATGTTGTTGAATATTACAGAATCTTTATTGTAGAGAAAACCTACAGATAAACAAAACATGAAAGCCAGCATTTACAAATGGCACCTATGTTAGGAAACATCAGAGATTTCTTAGTGAACAGGAACCTCACAACGATTCAAAGATTAATACATCATTATTTACTGTCAAAGAATACACTGTGTGAATAAAGCAGCATGCTGGATAGCTTTAGTGTCATCTTGACACACCTGGAATAGTGTGTCAATTGGGGAATTACCTCCATTTGACTGGCTAGTGGCCATATCTGTGGGGTAATTTTCTTAATTGTTGAGTGATGTGGGTGGAGCCATTCCTGGGCAGGTGGTCCTGTATTGTATAAGAAAGCGGTGTGAGATGGGCCCAGGGGAGGAAGCAAGTAAGCAACATTCCTGCATTTCTCCATGGCCAGTGCTCTAGCCTCTGTCTCCAGGATCCTGCCCTGAGTTCCCTGATGAACCCTAGGAAATGTAAGCCAAATAAACTCTTTCCTCCCCACTTTGGTATTGGCAAGAGTGTTTTGTCACAGCAGTGGAGAAACAAACTAGAACAAGATCCTAAGTATCATTGAGTTGCCACATGTTCTCTAAATATCTTGTGAATATGTGAAAATTTTAATGCATATATGCAACTTGGAAAATCCTAAAGTGTATGAAGTCATTGTATCTTAATTGCATATGAAAGGGGAAAAGATTTATGCAAATATCTTTTTTAAGGTGGAAATTCCATAATAAAATGGCCAGGACACAATACAGTCCTTATAATATAACATGCTAGAATATTATAGGAAAAGTTTTAAAAATTTGTGTCAGTTATATCTACATTTTCATCAAATAGCATATGGTATTTTGATAGACATAACTGTTTTATTTAGAAACATTTGTGTTCCCAAAATTGGTACCATAGGGTAGTTTGACCTTCAACTAAATTCATATGCAATTAAAGACCCCCAAAATTCATATTTTCTGATTTATAAAGGATATTATGAAAATTTATAGCAATTGTTGACTCAGAGTTGAAGGGATGTATTTTTGTTCAATGCATTAGCAATGCTACATTAGTGCCAATTGTTCCATGAATAATTCATGGACAAGGAAAATTCATCATAGTAGATGTATTTCTTTTTGATGAGTGAGAATGCATTTTAGTGTTATGTATGTTTGGCATATTTCTACCCCAGGAAAAGAAAAGGAGAATCCTTAGTATTCAAAATCTGTTGTTGTTGCCTGCCTTAGTGATGCCTACCTTAGTGGGCTAGCTACTTGAGGACTCTCCCTTAGGGGCTGGGGATGAGTAGGCAGGAAGTCAGTGGCACAGACTTCGGAAGACTCACTTGGCAGTTAGCAAGCAAACTCATTTATTGTGCCGTTAGGGGTTTCTTTTATACCCTACTCCTCCCCCATTGGTCCCGCAAGCCGAGTTGTCTAACGATCATTGGTGGGACAGCTGTGTCATCAGTCTCTGGTCTGGGTGGCAGGTATCCAGTTAACTGTCTACAGAAGTGCTGCAGAAGAGTGGCGCGCCCACACAAAAGCCTCCAGGTTCTAGGCCTGGCTGATACTCTCGAGCCTTCTCCTACAGAAATCAATCACTTCCAATGACTCACAGGTGAGAATAATCTGCAAAGTATATTAATTTAGTGATGAATAACAGAATAGAATGGTTAGATGTTTCCAGTATTACTTAATGTAGTAAAAACCATGGGAAGAAAATTAAAACTTATCTCCCAAGGTTTGTGATTTTAGCATTTTACTATCCTATTATATTTTAGCCTACTCTTTGAAAATTGCAGATAATGATAAAAATTGAAGAGACAGTCCCAGTACTCTGGAGGCAGAGGCAGGTGGATCTCTGAGTTCAAGGCCAGCCGGGTCTATACAGCAAGTTCCAGGCCTGCTGGGACTACAGGGAGATTCTGTCTCAAAAAAAAAAAAAATTGACATTTTATGCCAAGACAGAATATTCATGATGGGGGAAAAAAGATATTATGTAAGATATGATTATAAATTATTATATTTACACAAAAATATGAATACACAAAAGCACGTATAGACATATAGAGAATCAGAGAATCATATCTACAGGAAACATAGTTGTGTTCCCAGTACTAAGGTTTTTTGAAGATTCTACACTATTTGTTAGTTTAATATGGAAATAAATTCAATGTGTCTTGCTTTTTAGTGATTATGTGATAATTTGTTTCAATAATTGCTGCATGAGAAATGATGAATCCACATTACATTATCAAGACATCATTAATATTAGTTGCACTGTGAATTAATAATGCCACATGCACAATTCATGAATAACATCAAAAGGCTGATTTGTTTTATTGAGTGCACTAAAAATGCACTTCAGTGTAAAGTAGTAGTGCTGGGCTTCAGTCACCTGCTAATTCCAAACAGCCAATCCTAAATATTTGAAATGAAAAAATATTTTGATTAATAAGATGATTACATGGAAGCTCAGTGAATTACTAATATTTTATTAAATTAAAATTTTAAATATTTTTGTAGGTATTTTTGAATGTTATTAATAAAATTTTTCCGTAAAGCTAAATAGATAAGTGAAAATAATTAAAAAGTTATAAGTATATTTACATGTTGATTCATGACAATAATTAATTTTAGTATTGCTCTTTGAAAATGTTGTGTAATGACTTCCAAATTTTCTATTAATTTAAAGAAATCCTGTTTCTTTCGTTCTATTAAGATACATTTTGAATAAAATGCATTGAATTCATTTTGAAACTTTTAAAAGCTGTATTTAAGTTGATAGTTTAATAAATCAATCATGTGTTTAGTGATTTAACAAAGAAATTCTATGAAAAAAATACTATCTTCCTTCCAAATAGAAACTCTCACATCTTTCAGCCTATGATAAGCAAAGGCTAATACAAGGATAATCTTTCAAGTTTGGGTAAATCTGTGGATTGGTTTTTCCTGGGGATCTGCTTCTTTGGGACTTACTCTCAAATAATTTGCATGATCTATTTGTTAGAGATTATATGATATATTAGAGACATAATGATAAATATAATGAAGATTACCTGGCCTTGTCATTTTAATCCTAATTAATGACTACTGACATATTTAAAAATTGTCACTATTTTTCTTTGCATCTACCCCCCACCACTTTGTGGGACAACTGAACACATGTGTTTGGATTTTCCTTTACATTGAAAGAAATGTGTAAGCATGTGAGACACTGGAAACAAGTTCCTTTTTTTTTTTTTTGGTCTTTTTGAGACAGGGTCTCCCTGTAGCCCCAGCTATCCTGGAACTCACTATGTAGACCAGGCTGGCCTTGAAATCACAGAGATCCACCTGCCTCTGCCTCCCAAGTGCTTAAATTAAAGGCATGCACCCAGCTGGATAAAGTTCTTTTAGGACTAAGACAACATAAAGGAGTGCTTTATATGTATGTCCACCTTCTACAATATGTAATGAAACAGATGACTACAGACAGAAAACCACAATGGTTATATGTGAGTGAAATTCCTCTGCTGTGACAAAAGACCTGAAATATGAAGTAAAATGAAAAGGCTTTTTGTTTTAAACATTGTTACACAGTTTTTTATACATATTTCTTTGTTTCTGTAGATATGACTTACAGAGAAACAAAATGTAGGAGTCTGGTAACCGTGTGGCAGAGGGGACAATTCTCATCCTGAAGGAAGGAGAGACACGGAGGAACAAAGATTGAGATAGAGACAGAGAAGGTCTTTCTGAGGGCTTCAATGTTGTATATCAGTGGCCTAATCTCTTCCAATCATGGCTGAATGGAGGAACGGCTCTGAAGTCATGGTCATTATCCAATTGCCTTTCCGTAAATCTTTTTCTGAATTGTGATGTCCAGAGCCCAAATATTTAACACCTGAGACTCTGGGCGTTGATTTTGTAAGTGTAATGAAATGTTCATGACTTACTAGCCATCAGAAGAGTGGAAATCATGAAAAGTAGCTTATTTGTTCTGCTATACATGCAGCAGCTTCTCAAATGTTCCATACCTCACACTGTGATTTTAGGTACTGTTAGATGCCTAGGATAAGTGGCTTTGAGTTTGATTCAGCACAGTACTTAAAAGCTCACATATCTTAAGGATCCTGAATCTCCCTATGCAAATCTATGTGATTTACATGCATATTATACATGTGAGAAATAGTGCATAGCTTACATTAGAAAATTATATATTTCCATGAAAATAACTGTGATTCTGAATGATTTCATGTAGCATAACAGTACTTAGGATTGAACTTGAAAATACAAACTACTCTATAGAGAATCTATTAATGTAAACATGCTTTAAAAGATGCTCAGTATACTTATAAGTGAAAAAAAAACCTTTTTTTTCTTTTTTTTAGTTTTTATTTTTAAGGGATATCACAAAAATCTTTGATTTTTACAGGGCAATGCATTTGAGTAATGATTCTTTCAATCCCCAACACTCTATGGGTTTTCTTTCTTCCTTCTCACCACTAGCTACCCAGGCATCATGGTACTATTCTTTCTCTGCATTTATTTGTTCAGGTTTACAGATATTTAGCATCTTAGTTGCTCTTGAATACTTTGGAGGGTCCACTCACATCTTATGAATTCCACACTCTGAACATGTCACTGATATATTTTGAATCTGGTTCAATATAACAGTCAATTGCAGAAGTTAAATCCTTAGAAAAATGGCAGTATATAACCCCTGGTCACAGTGCTTTTCCCAACACATATTGTATTAAACTCTGGGGACTATATTTACACTGAGAGGAGATAATAGGAATTGAATTCTCATTAATATGTGGTTATTCTGGAAAATTTAGGGAATTTCAAGAGAAGGTAAATGTGATACAGATAAAAGTGGTGTTTCGAGACTGTCTTCAGTTCCTGAAGCTCTGAGAAATGAAACTCTGACAGTGAAACTCAGTTATCACTATGCAGTAGTACTGAGCAGGCCCAGTTGAATGACTTAGGTTGTATTTTCCTATTATTATTAGTCAGAAGACAAGATTCTTGTTTGAGTTGTAGGTATGGTCATAGTACTAGATGTCATGTTAGCAGAATACATGGAGAAAATTTCTTAAATTTATAATTTATTTTTTGTGTATGCATGTATTGCTTGCATGTAGGTAAGTGTACCCATGTTGTGCAATGCCCACGGAGGACAGAAGAGGATGTCGCATTCCCTGGAACTGGAGTTATGGCCAGTTGTTAGCTGCCATGTGGGTGCTGGGATTTGAACCTGAGTCTTCTGCAAGAACAATGTTCTTAACTGCTGAGCCATATCTCCAGCCCCCATAGAAATTTTTTAAAAGGCTCTGAGAGACTGTCTTCACATGATCAACCAAGGTTGTGCTGTGTTCTCAGACAAACACATAGTCCTATGAGCTGAACATAGTGATGCCTGAATTAGCTTTGATGTACTATAGATAGTAAAACCCATGGTGACAGGGAGCTGTCTCCCTTCTGCTCTTACCAATAGACACATGTCCACAGCTGACAAGAGTTCTCTGACTTCTGAGACCACCTGAACAATGTCATTATAGTGGAACTGGAGGTGGTGTTAAAGTAACAGTTGGTCCCAGACAATTATATTTGACTAAATATTCCACCCAGATTTTAATTTAAAGTCTTCTCATTTCAGTACATGGAAATTTACCAAGCCTTACTAGCCCTTTACTGAGACTTCAGGGATACCAAATAGAATTTTTTCAGTTGCATTAACTGATACACATCTAAGATGAGATATTGTTCTCCAATTCAATATTTCTGAGACCTATCTCATGTGCAGATAGTGAGTTTCATTTTGATGCAAGGAAACAAGTATGAAATAAAAGTTTGTGTGTAGCTGTGCTGTATTCACTAGGAGTACCTAGGAGCACTGTGCTTTCTAGAATCACTTACCAACCAGGGTATTTCCATTTCTCCTTACAGGGATCATTGCCTTTACTTTCACTTTATCTGTGTCTAAAAAAATCAGGGTATGGCCAGGCGTGGTGGTGCATGCCTTTAATCCCAGCGTTCTGGAGGCAGAGGCAGGCAGATCTCTGTGAGTTCAAGACCAGCCCGGTCTCCATGGTGAATCTAGGAGAGCTGAAGCTACAGGGAGACCCTGTCTCAAAAAGACAAAAAAAAAAAAAAAAAAAAAAATGAGGGTATGAAGACAATTTAGCTGAATTACCTTAACTAACAACATAAACTAATGTGACTGGAATGTTTTATGTGTGTATATCACTGTACTTTCCTGTTTGCAGCCATCACACATCCTTGTCCTACATCTCACAAAACAGTGCCATTGTTACCCCTTTTTGCTCTGGATATGTGTGTGTGTATTTCTGTATTTATATATTCATATATTTAATATATAACATGCATATATTTAAACATAATAGCTTTGAAAGTGAGTCCATGCATTGATTTTAGAATATTTAATATTGATATAATTTAAATATTCAATTTTTCTTGTACAGCTATGAGGAAATAGAGCTGTGTGAGTATTGACCAAATTTTATATACAAATAAACAAATGAGATTGTCCAAGGTAAACCAAACAAATGAGAATGGCTTGTCTTGTGAGACAGGTTGATTGGTGAAAAGAAACTGGTTGATCACAGGAGCTAAAATTCCAGTAAAAGAGAGACTTCCAGAAGCACAAGGAGTGAACACAGTTCTCCCCGCTCCACTGGAGACTCAGCTGATCCATCAGGACACAGTCAGGTCGGTTCCTAGGCCACTGTGGAATAGGACGCAGCACAGGAGGGAAAATGACAGCAGCATGTTAGAATGGAAGTTTGGCCAATGTTCTGGAACTAAATGAAGGGAATGGAAACCAGGAAGTAGTACATCCTTCAGGCTGTGTTCCTATACCATGGAGTGCATGAGAAGTCAGGGTTTTTCTCCAGGAGTAGGAAATTGTTGAATGTAAAGTCCTTCACCCAAGGAAGATCTACAAGAAAGGTAAAGCCATTTACAAACGTCTTCCTCCGAGGGGTCTTATTAAGATGTGGAAGGGATGTCTCCACCTGCTTCAGAGCTTGCTAGATATGTCCTGGATCATTTGTATTGAGAGGCCAAGTAGTGAGCCTGGGTTTTCTCCACCTGCAGGATCCTGGGAATCAACAGTCATGGAATCAACTACTTTCCAGGTCCACTCAGTGATGGTGCTGCTGCTCTATCTCCTGTGTGCCCTCAGTATCCAGAGTTTCTGAAACCTCCTGGGTACCTCCCACCTCCTGTGTTCTTCATGGTACAGGATCCTCTGGCATCCCAGTGGCAGCCCTGGAACACAAACACTCCATGGGTAGCTCCACACCTGCTTCTTGCCATGGTCCCAAAAGCCTCCAGCTACCAGCAGCCATGCTCAGCCTCTTGCAACCAACCAGATCCTCAATGAAGACCCTCTCTGGAACAGAATTGTGCAATTTTGTAACTGTTGGTTTATTGCTGTACTTACTATAAGAACTAAGGGAAAAATGCAGAGAAAGATCAATGGACACAGGGTCTGCTGAGGAATATGTAACAGTAGACTTCAGACTGGGTTATGCTCAGAGCCCTAGAGACTGGAATGTACTAGATGCTGTCACCAGCAAATTACCTAGATACTTTGTCCACTTATATATGACAAGGACACTTATTTGTTCCATTCCCACATGACCAAAGGGTTAATGACCCTCCCTCAACTTCTCTTAAAAAGGACTAATTCTTGATTTGGGAAGCCTCCAGACTTTCTCATATTCCATAAAGCTGCAATTACTGTTAACAGGATATTAGCGTGCAGGTTTTAACAGAAGAATTGAAGTTATTAGGCCAAAAATAGTCATACCTTAGCCACACATTTGTAGGACATGAAATTACTTTGATCTTATTGTTTGTCTTTTGGAAAATTGTTATTGTAAAGAAAATATGAGGTTTTCTTTTTGGTAACGTTTACTCAAAAACTCCATGTTAGAATACAAGAAGAAAGATGCTGGGCATGTTGTCAAGGCTGGAAAGGAGAAATTCACACTGGAGAACATTTGGGGAAGACAAATTCCACTTTGTATGCCTTTCAAACATAGTAATAATGTAGGACATTGTGTCAGACATGGTGGTAGTAGGGTGGGGTCCACATGGGGATGGGCATTTAAATATAATCAAAATACGTTGTTTAAAATTCAAAAATAATAAAATCATCAAAGAAATAAAATCTAGGGCTGGAGAGATGGTTCAGTGGTTAAGAGCACTGGCTGATCTTGCAGAAGACCAAGGTTCCGTTCTCAGCACCCACATGGATGCTAACAACCATCTGTAACTCCAGTTTCAGGGGATCAGATGCCCTCTATTGACTTTCTAGGGCATTGCATGACATGGGTGTACCCACCTTCATGCAGGCAATAAATTTATACACATGAAAAAATAGTGAATAAATAAATATTTTAAAAATCAGAAGAGGTGCTGGGTGTGGTGGTAAACACCTTCAAACCAGCAATTGAGAGACAGAAGCAGCTGGATCTCTGTGAGTTCAAGGCCAGCCTGGTCTACATAGTGAGTTCCAGGACAGCTGGGGCTATAGGGAGAGCCTGTCCCGAAAAACTAAAATGATTAAAAAAAAAAAAATCAGGAGGAACAAGAAAGATGCAGTCACCATCATAAATAAATACAGCTGGACAGTATAAATATAATCTCAGTTAAATGTCAAGAGCACTATGGGGCTGGTGGAGGGGGTTACTTCTCCTTCAAGTAAATATACTTGACAAAGTTTAGCTTTTAAAATTTTGGCTTTAATAAGCCCTGTTGTTGTAAAATCAGTGAGCAGTCAGGTTACACCTATAAATATAAAACAGTGGGTTTTAATTATTTTTACATATTTTATTATTTTTATGTGTATGCATGTATTGCCTGCATATATTTAAATGCACCCATGTCGTGCAAAGCACATGGAGGTCAAATCTCTTGGAACTGGAGTTATGGACAGTTGCTAGCTGCCATGTAGATCTGGGATTTGAACCCAAGTCTTCTGCAAGAACAGCCGGTGTTCTTAACCATTGAGGCTCGCACAGTGTGCTTTTATGTATCATGCTACAGCATCAAGCATTTTTCCATTTCTCTTTCTCAATTATTACTGTAACCTTAAGTTTGACAAGTGTACATTGTGGAAAAGTAGACACTCTGGCTTTTGTCACTTTTGTCATACTGTTTTTGAATTGAGATTGTTTATATCAGAGTCTAGACAGGCTTGTTCCCCTCCAGTTAATGCCAATGCATATGAAGTTGAATTTATCAATGGAGTTGCAGAGAAAGTCTGACTCAGGTTATAAATGTGTCCCTAAATTCACCCTGTAGCTATTCCAGAGTCCATAATTTGCATAAATCTCCTTTGAATTTGGCATAATCCTCACATTGGTTCCTTTGGTTGTGAACTGAGGGCTATTGTGGTTGAAAAATTGGATGGAAATGATCAAAGTTCCTGTATCAGAGAAAATGTGAACCATTTTGCATTCCTGGAGGGATTGTAAAGAACATTGCCACTATTCAGAATTTGAAAGATGCAGGGGGTGGGAGAAATCCAACATCTCATTGTAGCAGTCCTATTTGGTCTGTGCAGAATGTTGATGGATAATGTAGACATGTACTTATTTAATCTGTAATCAATCCATGAGTCTAATTGCAGCTGTGGTGCCAGCTCTGGTAGTCTTGCCTGAGCTAATTAACATACAAGCAGGAACTGGTGTAAAGTTAATAGAACTGCAAATGTAATGCCAGGTGTGGTGGTGCAGGCCGTTAATTCCAGCATTTGGGAGGCAGAGGCAGGTGGACCTCTGTGCACTCAAGGCCAGCCTGTTCTACACAGTGAGCTCCAGGCCAGCTGAGGGCTACAGGAAGACCCTCTCTCAAAAGACCAAAACAACAACAACAGAAAAGAAATTAGTATTACAAATGCTTTATTATCTTACATCTTAACAAGGACCACTGGAAGAAATTTTCTTTCAGCATTATTGTTTTCCTGTTCCACATCAACTGTATACTAACTCTCTATTCCATTGTCTTAACATGGTTTAAAAGGACTTTGATCTTTTTTTGTGTGTTTTCTACAAGGTACCACTTTGTTCCTTCATACTGAAAAAATTATGATCATTGTATGATGGGAGAAGTTAACAACCACTATGGATTCACTAAAACATATGCAGGTCATAGGACTGGAAATAAATCTTATTCCAATTTAAGGGCCTTCTAGGTCAGTGAAGTTTCTAGGAATATAGTGGTCTGGGGCATGCAGGGATATTCCTTTTGGGGTCTAGGGTAAACCGTTGCACCTATATTCTCCTACTACCAAACAAAATCCACAGCACTAAGTGTACCTGTTTGGATTTTGGAGAGAGTACAATACTCTTGAATATGTTACTTTGAACCACAAACCAAATGTCTGAAAATATGGCTAGGGTTTTGTTGTTGTTTGTCTTTTTGTCTTTTTGCTCTTTTTGAGGAAGGGTATTCCTGTAGTCCCAGCTGGCCTAGAATGTGCTATGTAGACCAGGCTGGCCTCAACCTCACAGAGATCCACCTGCTTCTGTCTCCCAAGTGCTGGGATTAAAGGTGTGCACCACCATGCCCAGGAACTACTTTTGAGCATTCCTAAAACAGTAGAGACAAGTCTTCAAGAGTTTCGTGTGATGTGCATTTTATCCCGGAATGTACACCATATAATTCAACATCCCCTAAATTGTTTGATGTTTAATGTTTGACCCTGAAGTGGTTTTGAACCTTTCAATATGTGTGAAGAACTTGGGAATATGAGCCTTGCCATGAAGTTATCTTCAGACAACTATTACCCATTTGAAGGACAGTTCTTCACCCACTGTTGTGGTTTGAATGAGAATGTCCCCCACAAGCCCCAAGTATTTGCACTTTTTGTTTTCAATTGGTGGCACTTCTTTGAGGAATCTTAGAAGGTTTGGTCTTTCTGGAAGAGGTGCCAGGCTTAGAGTTTTTAAAAAATATTTATTTTAAAAAATATTTTATTTATTTATGGATACTGGGGCTGACTGCTCAGCCCAGAACCACCACTGCTTCCTGATCCCTTTTATCAAGATGAACCCAGTTCATTCTCGTGGTCCCCAGGATCCCTCTGTGCCTGATTCCACCCTCACCTCCCTCTGCTTCCCTGGGCCTGAACAACCCACCAGCCTCTCTCCAGAGTTAGTCTATCACTGTAAGTGCCTACATCAGAAAATCAGAAAGAACACAAGTAAATGACTTCACATTGCAACTCAAGACACTTGAAAAGCAACAACAAATGAAACCCAAACCCTAGGGACAAGAAGAAATAACAAAAATCAGGGCAGAAATTAATGAAATTGAAACAAAGAAAACAATACAAAGAATCAATGAATCCAAGAGCTGGTTCCTTGAAAAGATAAACAAGATTGATGGATCGCTAGCCCAGTTAACCAAAAGAAAGATTACCTCCAAATCACAGTGTTTTATCACAGCAATAAGAGTGTAACTAATACAGAATTTGGGGCCAGAGTGTGGGCTGTTCACTCTGAAGATCCTGACCATCTGTGTGTTTGGAGGAATGTGGAAGACTTTGAAAGTTTGGGCTAGAAAATCTATCTATTGCTGTAAGCAAATGTTACAGAGATGAACAGAGTGTAACTAATACAGAATTTGGGGCCAGAGTGTGGGCTGTTCACTGAAGATTCTGACCATCTGTGTGTTTGGAGGAATGTGGAAGACTTTGAAAGTTTGGGCTAGAAAATCTATCTATTGCTGTAAGCAAATGTTACAGAGATGAACATAGAGGTAAAGGCTCTTTATACGGTAGCCAGGTAAGCAGTCACAAAAGCCAAAAAAGTCTCAACTGGGCCTCCAAGGATTATATGGATGTGTTCCTCAGTTCTTCCAGGATCTTCTGGCCCCAGGCCTGTATAAGGTCTGGGACTGCTCACCAAGATGTCTTGGACACAAAATGGGGGAGCTCAGGCTATTATACATACAGACATTAATGGGCCATTTTAGTAGGACCCATGAAGATAGTGCTGAAAGCAAAATAGTTCCTGAGGGAAACAAGTACTTAAGCAGAAACTGGTATATTTTGGTAGAGTCTGTCTAGATAATATCCACAGCATAAAATCTTGCCTTAGGCTAACTTGAAGTGTCAGGGACTAATTTTTTTGATGAAGGAAATTTCAAGACAGCCTAATGTAGCAGTGTTTGTGTGGCCATTAATGGTCAATATTTTGCAGATCTACTGTGAAAAAAGAGCAAGCAGATCATAAAGAAATGCAGAATGCAGTTCTCATTGAAAAAAAGCACTAGGAAGATTAATGTTGGAGCCAAGGCATGTGCTGAAGGATAGAACCT